ATATAGCCAAAGCAATCTTAAGTAAAAAGAACGAATTGGGAGGCATCAATTTGCCAGACTTAAAGCTATAGTATAAGGCTATAGTAACTAAAACAGCATGGTCCTGGCACAAGAACAGAGACATAAACCAATGGAATAGACCTGAGAACCCAGATATAAAACCATCCTCATATAGCCATCTAATCTTTGACAAAGCAGACAAAAACATACACTGGGAAAAAGAATCATTATTCAATAAATGGTGCTGAGAAAATTGGATAGCCACATGTAGAAGACTGTAACAGGATCCACACCTCTCACAAAAATAAACTCATGTTGGATAACAGACTTAAACCTAAGGCACGAAACCATAAGAATTTGAGAAGATAATGTTGGAAAAACTCTTAAAGACATTGGCCTAGGGAAAGAATTCATTAAAAAGACCCCAAAGGCAATCACAGCAACAACAAAAACAAATAAATGGGACCTGATAAAAAGCTTCTGCACAGCCAAGGAAACTATCATGAGAGCAAACAGACAACCTACAGAAAGGAAGAAAATATTCACATCCTACACATCTGATAAAGGACTGATAACTAGACTATAGGACTCAGGAAAATCAGCAGGAAAAAAATCAAATAACCCCATTAAAAAGTGGGCAAAGGACATGAACTTCTCAAAACAAGACAGACTAATGGCCAAGAAACATATGAAAAAATGCTCAACATCTCTAATCATCAGGGAAATGCAAATCAAAACCACAATGAGATATCACTTAGCCCCAGTGATATTGACTGTTTTAATAAAACTAAAGTAGCAATCAAGTGTGGTGGCTTATGCATGTAATTCCAGCACTTTGGGAGGCCAGGGAGGCCTCAAGTGTGAGGCCAGGAGTCTGAGACCAGCTTAGGCAACATAGTGAGATCATGTCTCTACCAAAAGAGAAAAAAAAAAGCTAGGCGTTGTGTCATACGCCTGTGGTCCCAGACTTGGGAGGCTGAGGCAGAAGGATTTCTTGAACCCCAGGAGTTCAAGGCAGCTGTCAGCTATGATCATGCCACTGTGCTCCAGCACAAGCAACAGACCAAGACCCTGTTTTTAAAAAGAAAAGAAAAGAAGGAAAAGGAACCTAAAGTACAAATGTGACAAGTAGAAGGGAGATTTAGGAAGGCTAAGCTTGGCTTTATCCAAGTGAACAGATTTTTAAGAAGAGTCTTCTCTCACCCACGAAGTCCATTTCTTTTCTCTTGGTAGCTGACACATCATTATTGAAGACAGGAATATACCCATCCTACTCAGTCTAATGCCATTGCAACTTTTGGGTTAGAATTTGTCTTATTCTCTAATTGTCCAAGGATGTGCAGGCTAGATGGATATCTGTGTCCAGTCTCTTTAACAGTCCTAATTCTTACTATGAATTACTACACTTACCTTCAGGATTTCTGCTTCACTCTGTGCACGTTTGGTTAGACCATCTCTGAAAGTCAGCTTTATCCTCCAAGAACATCCATGATGAAGTTCTGAGCCTAGAGGTCATTCACTCATCAAGCATTTTTTCAGCATCTATTATATGGCAGGTGCTGATAGGCCCCACACAGATGAACAAGAGGATTCTTTTAAACAGTTTACAGTGCATAAGTAGATACAGACGAGAAGCAGAGAACTACAATGCATTGTGACCAAGTGTCCTGATATTAACACTAAGGAAGTGACACAGCACCCTGAGATTTCATCATGTGGGCGGACAGCCTAGACTTGGGAGATTCAGCAAGGCTTCTTGGGAGAAGTGACATCTGGGAAGGGTGAGTTGAACGAGTTAGATGAGGACCAGGTGATCTCGTATATAAATTTATTAGGGATGGGGGCAGAGAGGGTACTAGTGTCCTTGGCAAAAGGTCTAGCATTTGCAAAGGCTGACATCTAATTAGGAGGCAAGAACCAGCTACTGTGAGAGCTCTGTCTATAAGCTGGCTGGGCCTCTGTTAGCAGCCTTACAAAGTTATCATAAAATAGATCTAACCTTAAGACAAATCTGATGTCTAATCCTTATAACAACAAATATTCTTCTTCCATGACCTCTTTTCTCTACCACAAGCCACACAGATAGCAAGCCAAAGCCCAGGCTCTCAGCGGTGCTCCTCTGGACTTGATCCTCTATGATGTCACCTTGCTTTGTTTCCTCATGTTTAGGGAGAAGGCTGTTGCCTACCAAGGACTGTTGCCATGGCAGTTCTATAAAACACGAGTCATTCTGGAGGCCTTACCATGCAGCACTCTTCTTGCCCTAAGGGTTCTCAAAATGTGTACCTTTTGCAAGCTACACACATTTTGGAGATTTGGAGACTGCTGTTCAAAGCTTCTAATATTAATCTGTAGAATTCAAGAAACAATTTTCTTACTGTAAGTGGAAAAGAACATGCTTGAGGATTTCAAAATGAAAAGGGCAAAATTTAGTATAAAATAAAAAGAATATCCAGGGCTGTTGGGAATACTGATGGTAGATCTTGTATTTGAAAGCTTAGCTGTATCATCTAAAGCAGCAGTCCCCAACCCCTGGGCCACCAGCCAGTACCAGTCTGTGGCCTGTCAGGAGCCAGCTGTGCAACAGGATATAAATGACAGGCTAGCAGTGAGGCTTCATCTGTGTTTACAGCCGCTCCCCAACACTCACATCACCGCATAAGCCCCGCCTCCTGTCAGATCAGCAGCAGCATTAGATGCTCATAGGAGCCTGAAGCTACTGTAAACTGTGCATGCGTGGGATCTAGGTCGTGGCTCCTATGAGAATCTAATGCCTGATGATCTGAGGCGGTGCCTGATGATCTGATGAGCTGAGGTGGTGACGTTGGTGCTGGGGAGTGGCTGCAAATACAGATTGTCATTAGCAGAGAGGTTTGACTGCACAGTAAATGTAATGCGCTTGACTCATCCCAAAATCATCTCCCTACCCCGGTCCATGGAAAAATTGTCTTCTACAAAACCAGTACCTGGTGCCAAAAAGGTTGGGGACTGCTGATCTAAAGCGATTCTGCTCTCTGCCCGACACCAGGAATGTCAGCGGTAGAGAAGACAATGAGGGTGTGACTAGAGGGAAGACTCTCTGACATCCGCTGCATCATTAAAACCTTGCCGTGTAGCAGCATGTGTTTTTTAAGGACATTTTCCCTTCAATGTCTTATATATTCAATATGTCTAAAGTCTATCTTGGAAAAAAATTCAAAATGTTTTATTTATTATACAAAAAGAAGACCTTTAATATAATACCTAAAAACGTTAATAGAAGTGAGACTCCTTCAATTCTTTTTGGAATACCAATGAATAAAAATAAAAGTGACTACACCATAGAACTGAAACCAAGTTGTTTCATTGTTAAATTTTCAAATTAATTATTGGATACAATTAAATAAAAAGAAATCAAGAGTAAAGATGTGCAAAAATAACTTCTAAAGGTCTCTTACCACTCCAATTCCACTTCCTCACTGCCATTTTCTAGATGTGATCACTGGTATCCATCTGGGTTTTGCTCTTCTGGTGGTTTTTATTATAACTTTACATAATACTGTGCTAGCTCTAGTCTTGATTTATCAATCTTAGACACTATTTAATTTCCCCAAGGTAAAAAATAATGTGAATACCCAATACTATCTCCTAGCTTCATTCAATTCCCTATTTTTGTAAGTTATAATTTTATTCTTCTATATTCAGTTGGCTTTATGACTCAAAGCAACATATTTACAACACTGTTTTGGATTTATTGACTTTACATAGAGAATATTGACTTTCTTGTAATACAAAATAGAAATAAGTGCATTTTTACTTTATTTTTCACTTCTTCACTTTTCTTAATTCTTAAGCTCCTTCCAATGAATATTTAATTACATTAATATCACCCTATTTTATAACTTTGACATTCTATTCTGTCACTAAAATTGGCACCATTTATTCTTTTTATATAGATTATTTAAAACATGAAATGAATAAATAGCATTTGCAACATTAGAGAACCAAGCAAATATTGTACCTGCAGAGAAAGAAATGTCATTTAAATTTTTCTGTTCAAAGGAGAACCTTCCAAGCATCTCTGTGTATCAGCGTATCTCAAAGTATCTCTGTCCAGTTCCATTAACTTCCTGCAGGTCATATTCAGCCACTACTGTTTCTTGTACCAGGTGTCATTCTCTTCATGTTCTTTCTTTTAATTTTTTCTCTCCCTAGAGTATCTCCTTAAATAAACTTTGTAACATAGGGACTATGAGCTTTTGAGCTCCTGTACATTTTAAGATGTCTTCATTTTCTTTGACATATGATTGATACTAATAGTTTGGCTGTGTATCAAATTCTAGTTTCAGAACATTAATAATTCCACTCACAACAGTATCGGCATTGCTCCCTGGCCTTCTAATATTCAATCTTGCTGCTGAAAAGCCCAGTGTCATCAGTATGACTTTCTCTTCTTTTAAGATACCTTCCATTTATCATTTTGAAAGTTTTTAAGATTTTCTCTTAAGGCATATGGCGATGAATTTTAGAGACTATTTTAAAACCTACAATATCTGTATTCTATCCTAATATGAATTATTAACACTTTCAGGTGTATGTAAATTTAAATTTTTTCAGTTGTAAGTTATTTTAAGTGAAATTTTAGTAAAATGAATGAAAGGGCTTGATAATTCAGACAGTGAAATGCAGAATGGCAGAATTAAAATTCCTTGATGCATCTTTAAACAGGAAATGTGTTATGATGCCATTTTTCCATTGTTATTATCATATGTTCTATTCAAACAATAGCATGTTTATAAAAAGTGATTATACAGTAGAAGTGTTAAAAAAAGAAAGAACATTTGGGCATCTGTTGTCTAGTTTCAGCATAATTGGTTTTTTACCGCATAATGTCAGGAAATATTTGGGATAGATTCCTAATCAGACATAAAAATTATCTTCCCAAATGATTGCTATTGAAGCCACTGACTGTTGCATTTATTGTTTTCTCCTACATGCTTCGTAATGAATTTCCATCACAGAGCTTTCATTGACTTCAAAAGGAACTCGGCACAAGGAGGAGCTATGTGGGATACAAAGAAAGTATTCCTCCTCTTGGCTTTCTGTAAACATACTGCGTACGACGTCTGAGTCATGGCCATGCTGTTGGCTGTTTACTTTCCCTGTTGTCAGTGCTGTACAGCTAACACCGACGACTTGGAAGTGAGCTGCATGCTATTCTTAGTTTATTACAACCAGCTCTTGATAACTTGGGAACTCATTATGTACTCTATGGACTGGTTTCGTTTCCTTACTGTGGCCTGGGATGTGGCCTTTTGCTGAAGCATTAAACCCTTTACAACTAGAACTTTTATCAGAATGTCAAAATTTGGATAAGGGGAATGAGAAAAGACAACATTAACTCTGCAAGTGAGGTATTTGCTTAACTTATATTAAAAGATGAGACCAGTCTTTGTGTGAGTATAGAATGCTATGGCCTCTATGGTACCTTCTAACTCTTAAAATTATTATTAGAGGGGAAGCGTAAGCTTTTGGCTAAAGTGATAATGGAGATGATTATTAATAAGGGAAAAATATATCTCTTCATTCTCGATGGAGGGGATCTAAATTAGAAGAGCTTGTGTTCTTTTTATTTTTCTTTTGTTTATATATTATTTATCTGAAATAATTTAAGATAATGAAATAAGTATTAATAATGTGAGCACTATTGAGTAGTAAAGAAGAGCCAGGATTCTGAAGTAAAACCAGATGGATTCAAATCTTGTTTTTCCTACTTACTATGTACATGACTTTAAGAAGTTACTTAACCTTTGATTTACTTCAGTTTACTGGTCTGCAAAATGGGTTTGTTATTGTGATTCAATAAGTCGTTGTGAAGATTACAAAAAAATAACCCATGCAAAACACTGTGCTTGGCTAATTGTAAACACTCATACATTTTTCCCCATTGGATGTTTTTATTCCCCTTATTTTTGCCCAGAACACTTGATTCCACTAATTTGGAGAACTGTTTGCAGTTTTTAATAAAGTTAAATGTCACCTACCTTATGATCCAATAATCCTACTCTTATATATTTACCAAAGAGCTTTGCAAGGTTATTCATAACAGTCTTATTCATAATTTCCCCAAACTGGAAACAACCCACATGTCCATCAGCAGAAGAATAGATAAAAAAATTGTAATATATTTGTAGAGTATGCAAATTTTCTACTGAGTAAGAAAATAGAAGGATATATGCAATAACACAGTTGAATCCCAAAAGCTGCAAAACAAAAAAGAATAAATGAATGAATTAAATGAAAGCAGCGAGACATGAAAGTATAAACACTATATTTTTCAATTATATGAAGTTCAAGAATATGCAAAATAAATCTATAGTGGCTGAAATCAGAAAGTGGCTGCTCTTGGGGGCAGGAGAAAGAAGGAGCTGGTTGGAAAGGGGACTGGAAAACTTTCTGAGGTGCTATAAAAATATTTTGGACCTGGTTTGGAGTAGTGATTACATGGATGTATTGCTTATGTCAAAACTTTTCCAACTAAGGTTGAAGTCTAAAGGTAAAATTCCAGATGGAGATGCAGGGTGGGGAGAAATTCAGGGTCGCAGTAGGATGAACATGATAAATATCTAATTACCGGAACTGTATACGCATAGAGTCGCCACAGTGAGGGCGGGCTGGGGGAGGCATTAGTCAGAGATGGACCAGTGGCAAACATGGCTCGGTGCCGAACCATACCATTGGGCCAGCGGATGACACCGAACTTCCCCCAACCCCCTCCAGAAACACAACTGGTCCTGTCACCTGGAACATGGGTGGAACCATTACCGAGAGTGGATATGCAAGCCAAGGGCCAATCAGTTACCTCAGGAGTTGGGGCTTAGGTCCCACATAGGAAATGGCACAGTTACCCTAGATGGCCCTGCCCAACCTACAATAGTCATTCCTGCTCAACCTCTTCTTTTCTTCAGGTCTGAGTGAGGGTGAGTAGGATCACTCTATCTTCCCCTTTCCAGTTGCCTATTGAAAACCAACTTTCACCACCTTTTCTCTCCCTAGCTCATCTTCTCCACACTCCGTAATGCAACTTCTCCCCCAGTTTTCTTAATGATATAATTCCTATATAGTTCGAGTGTTAGCAAACACTTGCCACCATTAAAGATCACTCAGCAAAGACCAGCAAGAGCAAATCAGAGGCCATTAATTGTGTGGAAGGAGAATGATTTCTGTGGTATGAGAAACCCCAAATCTAGATTGATGTTAAGCCAGATATCATGGTACAAGGTGTAGATTAGGCCAAAATACACACACACAGACACACACACACACACACACACACACACACACACAGTGACAGTCAGAGTCCTGGTGTCCCGAGCCTGAGTGTATTTGTGTTCCTTCTTCTGTCCTACTGCTTTCCTTCCTTGCTTTCTTCCTTCCTCTCTCCTTTCTTTCCTCCTTCCTTTCACTTCCTTCTCCTCCTCCCCTTATCATTTTCCTCCTCTTCCTCCCATTTCTCCTTCTCCTTTGCCCCTCACTCTTATTATTATTCTTTTTCTTCTTCAAGTGGTGATGGCAAAATAAGTAAAGATCCCTGGGGAAACGAGACCTCAGGAAAGAAGCATGCTTATGCGGAGGCAGAAGAAATACATGATGCACATTTTTCTCCGTATTTCAAAGAATTCTACTGTGGCTGAAGGCCATCGTGCTTAAATGCTATGGGAAATGTGGAGACAGACACGCGTGGGTGGTCGCAGAACGACAGAATTGCCTCCCGATCACACGCCAGTGCCCGTGCCGGCACCACGGCACAGAGCAGCCATTAGCTTTGGCTAGAACTAGCTGTGCTTGTAAGTCATGTGATCTGGGCCAGCCTATTAAACTCTTTCAATCTCGGCATCAGATGAAATGGGAATGAAAAGGAGTATTTTCTAGGGTTATTTGAGAGTAGTGATTGCACTCAGCCTACGGTAGACGCCCAGGGAAGGTTGGCTGTTTCTTGTGCTGCTCCTTCGGACAGTTTATGTCTATAGTTCTCTCCCACATAGGCATTGTTTTCCTCTTCTTAAACAAAGAAGTAGAGTGAGTGTAAGATGACTCTTGCTAATAGAAATAAAAACACTTTATGCTTATAAAGTACTTCACAGTGTACAAGTGTTTACATGTGCATATGAAGAGCAGCTGGGGCAAAGAAATGAGTAAGTGGCTGAGAGAGAATCCTCAGGACCTATTCATCTTCCAGTCAGCACATGGAAAACCAATCACATGTTATATCCAGAATTTTCTACCTTTGTTTGCTCCAACTTTCACACGACGAGATAGATGGTTGTAACATCTTTATTCATTGCTTTATTCAAGCTTTATTCATTGCTTTCAATAAAGTTATTTTATCAGTATAATTTGCATCATGTTTGCTTCATTCATTCATTATTTCAATACACATTTATCGAGCACCTACCACGTGCCAGGCACTTTTATAGATGAGCTTTAAACTAGACAGGTAAAGCCTCTGTTACCATTAAAGTAGGGGAGACACAAACAATGAACAATTAGTAAATAAAAACAATACCTTCAAATGGTGATTAGACTATTTTTAAAGTCAAAGAAGTTAAAGAGGGCAGAGGTGATGATGGCTACTCTCTGCTGAAAGTGACAGGGAAGTGGGGTTTGAGCTTGAATGGTTGAGGAGGAGACAACCATGCCACGATTTAGGGGGACAGTATTCGAGGCAGAAGGAATAGCAGGTGCTAACCCCTGAGGCTGGAATTATTTTAGGGCATAGTATACTGCCTTAGGAGCCCTTAAGAGCATGCGCAGGGTAGGACGAATGACCATATGGAGTTTTTTGATCTGCGGACGAAGGGAGAGTTACAAACATGTGCAGCCACCCTGTCCTCACTGAATGGAATGGAATAAAATCCTTTCAGTATCCAAGTTATCAGTCTATGGCCACCGCACGTCCACAAGGAGAGCCAGGTTTGCTTGGCCCTGGAAGACACTTGGTGAAGCACTTACTGTAGTAAGTTGGTTACATTTTATTCTTTGACTTTTCCTACCATTTGAGGGGTGCCCAGAGGAATGGAGTTTTGGTCACACACCTTCTTCCTCTGCTTTCACCTCCCCTCCCCAGCTTCCTTACACTCCACAGAGGCAGCTGAGACAGCCCACGTGCATGAGGAAATGACGCTCATCTTCTCCACCCACTTGAGAATGCTCGGATGCCATTAGCACTGATTGTCTTACTCTCGCCCCTACCCCATCACTAGCCTTGTCCTCCTAGTAGGAGAACAAGGAAACTTAGTTTGGAAAATGTGACCTAAGTGGTCCCGAAAGGTAGCCTTGCTCATCCCTGGGTGATTATATTAAGGTTTTATTTTTCTTTATTTATCTGTGTTCAATTTGGGGGGCAACAAAAAATTTCTTTTTTTAAAAGACATATTGGCTCATAGAAGTAGATATTATCAGAAAATCACCTCAAATGTGACTTAGTGGTTCCATCATTCCCAGTTGCTGCTTGCTGAAAGAGGGACATTTATTACTTGAGATGGCCAAATCGCCCTGTCTTAAACAGGTGCTCTCATTTGGGCAGACAGCATAGGTAAATATCTTATTTATACATGGCGGTGACTAGGCAGGAATAACTCCTTACTTCATTTCTTTATTTTAAAGCATTCTTCAGAGAAGTATTTCCAGCAGCGAGATGCTGTAGCGTATTTGAAATAAATTTCAATTCGGTGACAAATGTTAAGGACATCTCTTGCAGAAAGGGAGTTAAACTTGCTGGGCGTAGCATGGGCTTAGGGATAAGATAAACAGTTTGGAAGAGGATGTGATATCACTCATCTCTTTAGGAAAGCATTTTTCTGTCTTAGAGTTAGAGCTCCAGGCAGAGGAAGTGGGAAGGCGGGGAAAACATGGACCGGTTCCAGAGGACATGACAGGTCATGGAGGATGAATGAGTCAGCCGGCATCAGAGGGTGCGCAGTGAGGGGTGGGGAAGAGGGAAGAAAGGAAGCCATGGACAGAGCCTTTGCACCCCCTCACTCCCACACCCCTGTACACACACCAGGCTCTCAGGGGACGTCAGCAGTCCTTAGTGTCCTAAAAGAGTAACCATGTTCCCCAAGCAATCAAGGGACTCCAGAAACTGGCTTGGCTCTAGGGGAGAGTCTGACACTAAAGGCAGAGAGGCGATGAGAGCAAGAGAACCATTGTCATAGCAGAGCCCTGTAAGCTGTCAGCATTCAGGTCTTCTATTTAGAGAAGTCCAGAAGGAAGTGAAAACTTGCTTCTCAAAAAGAAACACAAAGCAAATTGATAGCATTTAGTGGTGGCAAAAGAAGTGATTTGAAATAATTCTAAAACGTAGTCTTAATTAGTTGCTGTAAGGTACACCAGAGATCTCTGTATATCATCTGTGGGAGGCGTTTTAATTTTTCAGTGGGCACATATG